CCTCTCAGCGGAAGGTCGCCCTCGGCCCGATCTGCGCTCGACGATGCTGTCGCTCTCGTCGCGAACGATCCGATAGGGAAATGGAAACGAGAACCTGGCGCTGACGCTTCACGAGTTTCGGAAAAGCCCGTTAGACCGGACGTTTAGAGTGAAGCTTTGCAGGCGACGCGTTTGTTCCCGTGTGCCAATTTTATATGGTTTTGGAAAAATTTACTTCAAACTTCTAAGATTTTTATACTTACAGTATAACGCAGACTTCAATCTGTAGACGAGAACGTCCGCATTACATGTTCCAAACAAAAGACTATCAATAACGATTTGGAAACAAAAGTATAATTGTTTTAAGGAAATTTTCGCACTCCTTCGCTAACGAATGCATTTTGGAAAAACTGTAAAGCTACCTTAATAGATTATTAAATCGAAGTATTTTGAAATAACATTTCACCAAAACAATACCAAATTGACACACGGGAGTTCTCATCCTGCGTTTGGAATATTAAATTGCATCACTTCATAAGCCTCACTCGAAATGTCTGGTGTGATAGAACTTTGGACCACATTGCGCTGGCGCAATTTTTGCATTAATTTTTGTATGGGCTAATTGTGTTTAATGGAATCTTAACTTAATCGTGTACTTGAACAACAAAAATGTTGGAACAAATTGCTCGCGCTCATGTCGTGAGCACGTTGTAATTATGAGTAGATAGGCGTGTTGTCGCAAATTCCAGGGTGGCTTTGATCTCAGTGTAATTCCCAGTATTGCCGCTGCAGCCCGTCGCATTGCGATAGTGGCTGTCAATTTAATGTAGATTTGTTTAATTTTGTTTTCCCAAATAGGTATTGAGTCATGTAAGTCAGGTTGTCATTTGTTTTATATAATTTTATTTTACCGTTGTTATTTTTTGTGAATTTTATTTAGCGCCGGCGCCGCATTGATGTCTCGTCAGTGCGCAGGCTTGGCTGGGTAGGTGATATTAGCTAGTTTGTTAAATTCGTATGTAACCAGGAATGCATATTATTTAGTACATTGAATTTGAATTTGTACTGCGTCACAACGACGCGGGGTACGCTTTAGAAGTGATCCGAAGTTTAAATATGTTACCTAAGAAGCAACCGTCATTAGACCGCCGCCGCCACTGTCTATTGTATATTTATTTGATGTTATCTCGCTGTCATGTTCCTTTTAAATTTGGTAGGGAATTCGTTATTTCTAGACACCATTTCTAGTCAATGATTCTTGTATACAAATATTGTAAATAATAATAGTGAATGTCACTACAGTAGTACCTATTTAAAGTGATAGTTTTAGTGTGAGTAGGTTGCTAATTCTCGCACAATTTTTTTATTGAAATCATGGTCTAATTTTTTTTACCTTTCATAAATTTATTGATTTCATTCGAAATCTCGAATGTTTTGTTGATTACTCGGACTGTGCACTTTTGATTTTAAAAACTTCACAAGTACCTTGTTCAACATTGTATCAACGTAATTTAATGCCTCATTTTTATGGTACTGGCGAAAATATACTAAATGATGGTATACCAAATTATAAATCATGGGTAATAAATAATTATTCTTATCTGTTTGTACATTCTCATTAAAAGTGCTAAGATTTTGCGAATGTAAATGTGAGGGAGACGTGTGAAGAAAAGTTGTGACAACGAAGTTGCCAGAGTGAGGTTCGCTAGTCAGCTGTGCTACGTCACGCTTATACTCATTAATAAAACTATTCTACTTTTATCTCGTTTTTTATTCCTGTGACGTTTTCCATTTTCCTCGTCCTTTATTCCCGGTTCTAAAAACTTGGTATTACATAGGCTGATTAAATAAATGAAACAAAACCAGTCTCATGCTCACTCAAACCGACTGTAACTGACCATGTGTGACCAGTGGCGCCCAACGTGGGGCGCCACTGTAATGCTCACTCAAACCGACTGGAACTGACCATTACATGCTCACAAAACCGAAATTGGACCATAAACCAATACGAAAGTTATACTTAATAATTTAGTTCTTTAACATTGGCTATAGAGCCATCAGCTTAAACAAGTGGTAACAAATAATTAAGAAACTCAAAACGTATTATTATATTTTACATTACAAAATAATTTGCGAAGAAGCAAATTACAAAAACTCGCCAGAAGCAATACAAAAAAATCCGCCATTTTTTGACATGACGACGCCAAACCCGCCCCAGTAAAAGGGGGCATTCATTATCCTGCAGCTTCATTTTTATTGCCTCTCCCGATCGGAAATTGTGTCTTTTCAGAGTCTAGACAGATAATATTGCGGATGGGCTACCCGATCCGAACGATTCTGATTTCAATTAAAATCAGAGCCCTGCATTGTAATCTGCCTTGCCGTCCGCCGCGTAATGTAGGATTATGAATGTAGTCGTGCAAGCTATCCTGCAATGCGTCGTGCGAGACTCCATACGAGGGCCATACGCAGGATAGTAAATGAGCAGTCTCCTGCCTGCGCGGCGGATAGTGTATGATCTATGATGGGCCGTTTAAGAAGATACCTACTTGTACAGGACGAATCATACAACATTCAAGTGTGGAGCCTCGAAAAAATCACAATCTGTTAGAACTTTTTATATCGGTTTCAATAATAAAATAACGGTTATGTGTATTAATAAACGATTTTTGTTTGACATGTGGCCGATGTTCCTAAACGATGCGTTCCTAAGTGATGTTATTAAAAATTTGGACATTGCATATCGATAAAAAAAAATTAATTCACTTTGTATGCCAGATAGTGCCTACACTAAACAATAGTACTAACACTAAATGTATGTGTAATGTACAGAGATGACTTATGCTTTGAATACAAATTTTAATTTTCTAGCTTCAAACCATGATATATTCAGCTACCAGCAGATCTATTTAGCAAAGAAATTTTCAGAAGTTAATCATTTCGAGTACTGAAAACAGTTTTATGCAAAAAAATAATAGTTTTTATTGCAGGGTAAAAAGGCTTGAGAACAAAGATGTCTTCATACACTACTATTTTTATTTCACTGTATGGTGATATTGGCATTATGATTTTTAATCCAACAATACATATTGGTGGAGACTAGGCCAATGCGAGCGTTGGCGAACCGATACCCGGGTAAGTAGTATTACCGTCTAGACATTTGACAAGTTTGAAGAAGAGCAATACAAACGGCCAATATAGACGAGTTTTGTGAAGCTGTCCAGAGGTTGCGCGCTGTCACTTTTTATTATGCATTGATTGATGACGTTATGAACGATGTGGACAACGTAAAAGTTATTGCAGGGCCTGCTATTTATTTGGTAATCGTCTATAATTATTATGACAGTGATACTGCAGTAACGTTGTAAAAACAAGAAGGATGTTAGGTATTCACAGGAATAGAACAAGGAGAGGTGACATTTTGTTAATACATTAACACTACTTTATTTTTTACTAATTGTTTCAATGTTGTTGAATAGGAAAAATTAATACGGACAAACGATTGAACACTATTGGCCGGGCGCCTTTAAGCTAACAACGCTGAGTGAAAGCAAGGCAAAGTAAATAGGCTGTCTATACGTTGGTATTGGCCTTTACTCGGCAACGCTGAGCCAACACGTATTGCTGGCTTTACACAATAGTGGATATTTAAATCGATTGGTTTTGTATCAAGTATCTTCTTTAACAAAAACAGCATCCGCATCCCTGACTCTATCTGCATGCATTTTAATAGTCTCGGTGATGTACTGCAATCGATTTTCAATGACCAATGAAAATAAAACACATGTTACGAACACTTACACTAAAAGTATTAATGCGTATTTTGTTCCATTCGAAAAGACATGTTTTTATTTCTTACTCATAATCATAATAATACTATAATAATAGATTACAATACGATTATAACAACCGCCAACAAGCCGTTAAGTAGTCGATATACGTATCGATAATTTTTGTATGGCACGATATATACAACACTGTTTCTATAACGGTCGTGCAGTTTCAAACATTTGGTCGCTTTGTTTCGCGTATAAAATGTAAAATAATTTTTAAATTTGATAAAAAAAAGCACGAAAATGACGGGGAAACTAAGAGATTATCAAGTGTTAGACGTTCTGTGCGGCGGTACGTTTTATAAAGTGAGACACAAGGTCACAAACAACATATTTGCGTGGAAGGCGTACGATTGCTCTGCGTATTCGGACGAACAAATACAAAACGTCGTAAAGGAAGTGAAAATAATAACCGAAGTGCACTCGGACAACCAGCTGCGTTATTACGATACGATACTACACGCCCCTTCTAAGACTTTGTACTTTGTGCTCGAGCACAGCTCCTGGCGCAGCCTTAACGAGCTGATCGCGGCTTGTAAAGACTCTGACAAGTACATCGCGGAGGGCTTCATCTGGTATCTTTTGTTCGAGCTCGCGCGCCTCTGCAAGGCTGTGGAGCGGTTGAAGGTCGTAGTGCTACGAAAATGTATCACGCCCGCGTCCGTATTTGTCGGGGACGAATGCGAACTGCGCGTCAACTGCTTTGAGCTGGAGCCGGCGGCGGCGCCAAAGTCAAGCTTGATGCGGCAGGTGGGCGACGTGGCATACACTTTGTGCTCCCAGCCCACCGTCTGCGACGATAAGATCCAGGGATTCCACTACAGCGATGACCTTCGCGACGTCATTAGCTTCCTGACAGACGAGCGCAATGCCAACCTGCGCCCCGACGTCATTCTTCATCACCCAACCGTGTTGGCCAACTTAGAAACATTGGCTGGACCAAAACATTTGGGCGAGATCCTTTTGTCTGGGCATAATTCATCACTAGCATCAGATGCTAACAAGTGCGACTCCGAGAAGGCAGTGGAACTGTGCAGACTTGTGGAGCCAGTGCCAAGGACATATACCAACTTGCTGGACAGCCCTGTCTATTCTAATATCAGTCCAAAAAAGAAGATTAACAAAGAACTTGAAGAGTCTCAATCTCCCAGAGGCTCTGTGTCTCCCACATTGGCAGCTTTGGCCCTAGAGCTGCCTGGTTTTGTACCTCGCAACAGGAAACCATACAGCCAGGCACTAGAGACCTACAAGCCTCAGCAGATATCAGAGGAAACCCTGAGCCGTCAGTGGATGACCCGCCTCATTGCTCTCCGGCAAAGGGAGGAGTCCCTCAACAAAAGAGAGAGAGAACTCATTTCTAAAGAGATAGTGAGCAGCCCGACTACAAAGATCATCCCATTCGATGAGTGTTTTGGTATTGGGAACCAAGGAGAGATTAATGGGATCACTTTACCGCCAGTGATTCAGGCAGAAGAGCGCGGGCAGAGGGCATCACGCCGTCGCCGTCGCCGCTCTGGTTCCGTGCGGCCCAAGAACTATAGGAAAAGTTATGCCTATGAGGATCTGGACAGCTCCCTGTCAGCTGACCCTGGTGATGGCAGTATCATAGTGACAGCTACAAAGTTCACTAAGGAGAACATGCCGCGACGCAACATCTTTCCTGACGTACTATCAAAAAAGGTGCATTTCACATCTGCAAATCCTTTTGCAGAAAGTGATGAAAGTGTTACATTGACATTTTATGAATTGGATAATGTACGCTGTATGGGTGATCAGATGCAGAAGCCGAAAGAACAGACAGTGAATGACATCACAAAGTTCAAGTACTTGGATCTTGAGAAAATGACGTCAGAGAAGAGAGCCGCTATGCAGCAGTGGAACCAGTCGTCACCATCCAAACAGGCGAAAATGAATGAGAAGATGTTTGCAGACATCACTAATGCCAATGAGGGCATGAAAAGATCTCCTTCTAAGGCCAGCCTCGTTTCCAAATGTTCAAATTCATCAAAGTACTCCAATGCATCGAGTAAAAGCCAGTGGAGCATGGAGTTGGCAAACAGTAAGGTGAGTGAGGACTGCATTTCTGAGCGCACCCGCTCGAGCATGAGACAATCTTTAGCACCCATACCTGTTGTGCTACCGGAGGTGAAGAAGTCCAAGAGAAAGTCTCTGCTTCCATTTAAAACTCCTTTCAAATTCATGACTTCCACTAAAATTTAAACTTGTGATTTTGATTTCTGTGAATATCACAATTAGCTCTAACAAATTTTTTATTGCCATTTAGTTGTAGTTGATACTGTTGTACAATCTATTTACAATACACTAAGATTGGTTGTGGCTTTTATTCTATAGAATATTTACTTTTGTATTAGTTCAGCAAGATTAGTAGAATAAAGTATGAAATTTGCAATTTTCCTAATATCTAATATTGTAAAACTGTTTTTCGCTGGATTCATTGGTCCAGATAGTTTCACTTGGATATTTGTTCATTCATAGTGTTTAACTGGAAAAAAAAATATTGTTTGTTTCAAAATGTATGTAGGGCACAATGAAGCTGGCTAAACTAATTTATTTTTAAATTGTACATAAGAACAATACGGACAACACCCCACCCTAACCCTAGAATAGTAAGATTTTTCCTTTATAAAAATTATGAAAAATGAACTGTATAATAAGGTATAAATCAAATTTTATTCATTTGTTTTTTTTTTTATTATATTTTTTTATATAAATGGATAAAAATATTGTAAGTTTGTGTAGTCAATTGTCTTCCTGTGTATTTTATAGACATATTTTATTATAAAACATTGTATTGAAATACAATAATGAGAAAATAATCATAGTTTACAGTTTAATGAAAATTAAATGAAAACAAGTTAAAATAAATATGTGATAAATATGCTAGCTTTATGATTGCAACAGTTGCCATATTGTTTAGCACTTATGAATAGTTAAAATAATAATTTAAGCAATACATTATTAATAACTATGTTATAATTAGAGAAATAAGTGATGAAATAAAAGCGTGTAAAAAGTACTTTTGGTTCTTTTTTATTGAACTCACTCTGCTTACAATATCACTGTCATCACATCACATATCACTTGGTGAAATTTAATTTCTCGAGTCTCATAAAACTCCTATGATAGTAATCACCACGCATGCTTTATTCCATTGTCAGCATTTTTCGATCTCGAGACCCATAGCATCAGTCTTTTAAATCTGTTTAGGCATAAGTTAGTTGACTCGTCACAAAATTTTAGAATTATTTATATTTATATTTTTTAGAAGATGTAACCTATTTATTTTCAGAAGGTAATAATAATCTAGGAGCCCAGACCATATTTGGCAGTTAATACATGATGAGGTCTCCACAATTTTAAGTTTTCAATGTGAGTAAGGTAGCAAAGAAATGTACTGTTACTATGCACAAGGTGTATGAACATCATGTGTGGCCTCTTGGTTTGCTAGCCAACTACTAAACACACACAACAACTTTTAAAGACTCGATTATGATGATGCCAGAGTAAAGCACGCGGCCGCTCAGAGCGCGTCCGCTGCACTATTTCTTCTTGTTGAGCGCTTTGTCCGCACCTTCCACGTATTTCTTAGGTAAGCCATATTTCTCTACGAGTAGTTTGGTCACGAAGCGAGTCTGGGGAAAGCAAAATTCCATGTAAGTATTGATGAAAAGGGGTAAGACCATCACGGGTTGTAGAAAGAGCCTCACCTGGTCCCCCTGCAGCATAAGCTGGTCGTGGCGGGCCCCTGGTGCCCTGGTGACGCCGCAGGCCGCGCCCACTGCACGCTGACACGCCGTGCTCAGCGACGGCAGCACGAAGCCGTAAGCTTCCAGGTTCGACACCAGCGTCACCTGCATTCATCATAACTTTTCATTTACTGTGCCTTACCAATTATAGTTGGATTTTGGATTGGATTGTTTATCATATAGTGATGTTTGGTACTGTTCTCAAAGTAGTCACTGAAACAGAATCATGACTGTTAACCTGCTAAAGAATATTGCGTTTACATTCACTTTTCATTTTTCTGTTATCTAATTCTTGATTTGTATAAGCTATTAACTTATTTACATACACATTGTCACAAAGATACAATTTACTTAGACAATCTACTGAGCGAGTCAGTGAAGTCAGTACCCTAGGACAACACTATTTTTATTTCATCAATAACCTAGGGTCGTATTCTAGACCTCTACTCAATGCTCAAGTCAGGATTGCACTGGAAATACGACCCTAGCGGCAAGGACTTGAGTATGATTTCTAGTGCTTTAAATTATACTCATGTCATGACTTGAGCAACGAGTAGAGTTCTGGAATACGACCCTAACAACACAGTTCAAAAATAATTACATTCCCATTCTACTTTTTAGTGTTTTAATTATAAATAATAGATCGTTGAATTTCATCGACCCAGTTCGATTCCACGTGAAAATAAACTTACTTAATAAATACTTAAAATTATAACTTACGTAAAAATTATATGCTCGACGCGTAAAAAGTACCTGGAGTCGCAGAGCTATGTTTCGTTTCCTTTTTTTTTTTGCAAATTTAAAAAAAGCGACACTTATTTCGGCCCAGCGACACTCGGAGGGGTATTTTGTGTTAGTTTGGTTTTGGTGTCTTTTTCTTGTGACTAGGCTTTGCTTTTCAACTGTTTTTGTTTGCGATTACGTTGACCTTAATACTTACTATTTTATTAAACTTTATAGTGTTAATTTAACTAACTTTTTAAGTTAGTTGCCATGAACTTTACTACTATCTTTGCAAATAAGGTACAATCCGCGGATCCGGCTTCACGATTCTACGATTACCAAAATACGAATACAAAGTGCTTCTGTGGCCAAACGGTTACCATGCTGGACTGCCACGCAGAGGTTCCGGGTTCGATTGGGAGAATCGGCTGGGAGAATTATTTTTGTATCGTCTACATTTATTTCTCTCGTGAGTTTTGGTGTAATTTATGGTTGTCTATGTGTCAGTCCATGGCACCCGTGGTATAGGGTTTCCGTAGTGCGGGGCTATGAGTGTGTGCGGTGCTATAAATGTCATTGTTATTATTAAAGCTGTGCAGTGTTACAAACGACGAAACATTTTATACCCGACTAAAACTCCTTTTAATGTATAATTAATGAATTCCACAGTGTACAGGAGTTTCTGTCGAAGAAATTGTAGTTTTATTTTTATTTGACGTCTTTGTATTTCGTCGATATTTTGTGTTTATTTATATTTTTTAGTTAAATACTACTTTATTAAATGTATTGTATTATTATTAATGTATTAGTATGTAATGTATAAACATTTTATAACCAATATTATTGAGTTCTTAGGTTTTCGCGATTGTTACAGATAGGAAATGAAACTATTTTTCCGGATTTAAATCGCGTATATTTGTTTTTTTAAACAAACCGACGTTATGTTATCCTAATAACGGCCTAGGCCATACTGTATTTCGAAAGAAAACCCATACAGATAGGTACCTCACTGGTAATTCCCATCACCATCCTAACCAGTTAGCTACCGTGGGCAAATCTTTGTTTCAGAGAGCATATGGTGTCTGCGACAGTAATCATCTGGCGGGGGAACTTCAGCATATAAAGCAAGTCCTACATGCGAATAAGTTGAGGATTCCACGCCAATGCTCTACTCGATACTACTCGCGCAATACTCGAGATGTCATCGACTGTAATATTTGGCCAGTCGTGCAAGTCTATGTAGTTAAACTGGACAAATTCCCTTCCTCGATAATGTCAAAGACAAGAAGTCATTGGCGGATCATTCTAAATTATTATTATAATAAAAATTGCATTATTGCAGGCATAATACAAAGGGTACAGCCATGTGTCTTAGACAAATATGCTTGTACTGTTAGTTGGTACTTGGTGTAACGGGTTGGTGTTGTAGGTAGGTAACACCGTGATCGACGCGTATTAATGTTCAATTTTATTTTATTTCGACATCAATAGGAAATGAAACTATTTTTCCGAATTTAAATCGCGTATAGCGTGAGTAAGTAAGTAGTGTAATCGCGTTTTCCCAATAAAAAATAAATAAACAAAAAAATAAAATTTCTTATGTGTAACAATCGCGAAAACCTAAGAACTCTCTCTTATATTGGACAAACAAAGCGAAGTATTTGTACCCGCGTCAAAGAACATATAGCTGATGTCAAACACCGTCGCGTAAACAAGTCTGCAGTCTGCGAGCATGTCATGGATAAACCTACACATTCAATGAAGTTTGACAAACCCCAGGTCCTTGCAAAAGAAGTCCGTTATCT